CAAAGAATCTCTCAGACTTCCACCCAATATTTTACCTGTCCCCTTCTCAATCTAATTATTTAACCGTGAGTTATGTGGAGAAAGTACTTCTTATGCCCATTGTATTTTTTACCAAGTTTTCTTACGTTTTTATTACAAACATTCATTTTCGCTTCGAGGAAGTATTTGGTAGCAACACTTTAATGATTACCTTAAATTTGTATTTCTGCCCGGTATTATGCCCCATGTTGTAGCGGAAATAATTCTGATTTATGACAAAGTACACTGGAGTACAATAACAGCGATGCAAAAATAAAACCCACGCCTTTATATGTTGGCTTAGAAACTGTAAACTATCACCACAAGAAATCTATCAAACTTTACAATCCCTCTTACCCTGCTTCCTTCTTTCTGAGTAACTTAAGTCAAAGAATTATGGAATGATATTATGTTCCTTGAGGTGGTATTGAAAACCGCGTTCGAGATTTTCTACCCCCAGCATAGCAGGCTGCAGGCACCCAAATACTGGTCTGGGTCCGGACCCCTTCCCCTGCCTTTGATCATGAGGACAAAATTTGGAAAGTGTAATTCATCTATAAGAAAGAGCGGCAAGGGTGACAGAGCGCAATAATGTGACACGGGGATTTTGGAAAAGTTTATTCAGTGCTCAAGTGTTTCCTTTAATTTTCCAACCGCGTTAACAAACTTAAATATTGCCCCCCAAAAAGGGGTAATTGTTTCTCGCAGAGGTGGGGAGGTCCGTGTGGGAGCTCTAAAAATGTGGATTATTGCACGTTTCGAAAATTAAAGGTGTTTTTGTCTGGGCAAGGCTCGCGGCCGCGCTGCGGTTTATAAGCTGAAAAAAACCGAAGCGTTTGATGGAAATGTGGCGCAGCTCGGGATTTCGGAGAGCCCCTTTTATAAAGTTAAAAAGCGAAGTTGAAAGAGACGAAGAGTAACGATGAAAGGTAAAAATTGAAAACAATGAAGGACGTGCTAAAATGTGGCTCTGAAGCTCTGAAAGTTAACAGCAAACCTCAAAGAACTCCTATTTTACCCATATGACGATAGGAAAATAATTTCTTTCAAACTTTGTTAAAACGCTGATAATTTAACAGGCTTCTTAAGGCGTGTTTGAAGCGGCAACTCCGGTCTGCTGAGCGCTTCAAAATAAACATTATTGTTTCAATTACAATTTTAACAGAATATGGAGAGCACCACGAGGACGGACTGTTAACTCTCCTGTTTCTCGTCGAAAAATAAAAAGAAGCAATTGGAAGAAAAATCTGAATAAAGACAAATTTCACACCTATAGCATTGGAATAACCTGCGGATAATGGGGCCACAGCCCGAACACTTTGTTTTGCACGATTTGCCTAAAATTTGAGGTTCTCCACCTTCCAAACGCAGATACCGCCGTAGAGGTCGAGACTGCTGAGAAACATATGTGCAGAGAGAGAATTTTATTTCAAAATCACCGGGATCCTCATTTCTTTTATTTTCTAATTTTTATTTTCTCGTACCTGAAGTCCTCAGCCTGGAAGAAAACCTCGAATATCTTCTGCTTTCTTAATCACACGCTGGCTGCAAAGCCCAGCGTGTGACACAGAGTTTCGGCTATTTTAGCCGTCATTTGTACAGTCACATACGGTTTATATCAAACACATCTTTAAAGCAGAGGACTGCAGATTTGCTTAAGCGTGTATCACTTAATTCAAAGAAAGGGATTAGGCCGCTTTTTAACAATTAAAACGAACGAATTTACTTTGCTACTTGTAGCACATAAACAATTGTAATGTTTACATTAAGTCTTCCCCCTTTTTTTTCGAAAATGAATAAAGTTTTTTATGGGCTCCATCAGCAATATGCTTCAGCCTAATTCCTCAACTCCAGATAAAAAAAGGCTTATGAGGTTGCAAACCACATTCTCGTGGTTTCATGTTGTAATTTAGAAGTTATCAAAAGCAGAGGAACGTGCTTCAATCTAACATATGCTGTGCATCCGCATATTCCCCAACTTTATGAAAGGCGTAGAAGCAAGGCCTTAATGAGCCGCCATTTTGGGGCAAAATAATATGTCATCATTTCATATTTTTCCCGGACAGCAGAGGGGCAGTGCAGCCCTGCAGCCCCCCCCCCCTTTCCTCCCAGTGCCCTATTTTCTGGGGGGTTACTGATTTTTTTCTTTGGGGGTCGGGGGGGTGGGGGAGAACTGAAGCACAACTTTGCAAACGCTTTGCCTCAAATCCGCAATTCTTTCCCCAAAGTTTCATTCCTCGCCCCCCCCAGCCTCCCCCCACCCACCCCCCCCGCCGCACCCTCCCTCCCTTGCTTGCCGGTGGCTCTCCCATATTTCAGCAGCAAACTCGCCGCCTGTCCCCCCCCGGCAGAGCGGTGCTTCAGGAGAACCGATTTAATCGCCTCTCGCCGAGGTTATGGGCCACCAGGGTCCCAGGCAGAGGGCTCCGGGACTTGGGGCGAGCTGCCTGCTTGCCTCTACCAGCCCTGCCTCTCCGTCGGGACCAGCTATTGCTCCTATAAAAGTTCCTCGTACACAAATAAATGAATTCACCCTAGGATCCACAGGCGAGGATTAGCTCAATTGATGGTCGATTCGAGTCCACTTGCCAAAACCACTGGCTTTCTTCTTCGCCTTTTCTAATCCCAGCTCTGGCCAAGTTGCAAACCAACGTCAAACCCATGAGGAAAGTGCAAAGTGGTCAAAAGGATGGATTTCCCCTCATGGCTATTGTTTGCCGCTCTTGCTGAGTTGTTCAGCTGAAGTTGGTTATTTACATGCCACCAAAGAGGCTTCGCCTTTAGGACGGCTCTTAGCGCACCGTCAAGGTTACGTGCTCCTGCCCGGGGCCCTGGCACCTTCAGGAGAGGCTGCGTGGGGTCGTGGGGTGCCGCGTGTGCAAGTGGGTGCGTGTGCAAGCGCGAGTGGGTGTGAGCGGCCCCGTCCAACACCAGGAGAATCCCTGGACACTTTCATCCAGCATTTGCAGCTCCTGCAGCAGATCCCCCCCCCCCCCCTCCAGCCCCAACCCTGCTTTTCTTTCTTTCTTTTTTTTTTTTCTTTCTTCTCTTCCCTTTTTTTTTTTTTTTTTTTCAAAAATGGAAATGATTTGCTTTGTATGGAAGCCAACATAAGTGAACATTATTATCCTGCAAGAAGCCAATTAGAAGCCTGCCCCCTCGCCTTCTTCCCTCTCTGCAATATTTCACAACAAAGTAAGCCAGAGCTGCTTCCAATATGTTGTGTATGAAATCCAGGGAGCAATAGGAAACAGGTTGGGTTGGTGTGTTTGTACGTCACATGGAAAGGGCCTTCGTAATTAGTCTGGGTGTCATTAACGTAGGCACAGAGCGAGCTCCCCAGCCTATGAGGGAGGCTTTATTGTGATGGACATCCGAGGTAGGAATAAAGTTGTCTGATGGAGATGCCTAAATGCGTGCTGGGAATTAAAAAAAAAAAAAAAAAAAAAAAAAAAAAAAAAAAACTTGTAAAACTTTTACGCCAAACAAAGTTATAAAAACTTTTCATGCGTTAAGATATCAAAAGGTTTATAACAATAATAAAGAGAGTGTGCCGGGTGTGTTAAACCTGCTTCGAGATGCATTAAATGCTGCGCGGCTGAGTTAAATATTAAGCATCATAAACGCCACACAGGGTTCAATATTTGGGTTTGGGTTTGCTGTTTTTTTTTTTTTCCTTTTCTTTTTTTCGGGGGGAAACTGTGGGTCTCCTGCAGGCGACCCCCCCGGTTCTCTGGAGGCGGGGCGGCTGGGGAGCCACGACCCTCTCTGATTCCTCTTTATTACGAAAGGGTTAAAGGTGATGGACTTGACTTTATTGAAGTTCAAAGACATCAAATATTCACATTTTTTCTTCCTGTGGGTCTCATTCCCACCTCTGATTCCCCGGCCGGGCTCGGAAAACCCCTCGCCGAGGCCTTCTGCGGTTAACAGGGAGCCGGCCCCAAAACCCGGCGCCAGACCCTATATGGCCCCTCCATATAGGTGCACGCACACCGGCCGCGAGATACATATGTCTAAGCCCTGTTTCTGCTTGTCCGCTCCCCCGGCGTGGTACCCAAAGCATCCTCAGTGACCCCCCCCTGTCCTCCGCCAGCCCCTCCGCCCCCCTCCCCAGAACATTAACAGCCCTTTTCCTACATGGCACTGATGCTTAATGCTGCTGTAAACTCCCACATGGTCTATAAACTTGGATTTTACAACTAGCATTCCATTTTAGCTCGCGAAAACTTTGAACTAGGCCTACAGTTTCATTGTGCTGCAGTTGAACTGGAGCCTTGGAGGAGGGAGGGGGGGGGGGGAGGAAAGGAGGGAGGAAAAAAAATTCCCTGGGCAAGACTCCCTTATTTGTTTACTATTTACTGCGGAAGTCTTTTCCTTTAGCCAGACGGGGTAATTAAGAAAAATTAAGCTGTTTAGTGCTGCAGTCTTTATTACAACGTCTAGACTAGCCGCTTTTGTCCGGACAGCCGCTGCTGTTACGGAGCATTAACTGCCGCTTCTGACCTCGCGATATTCACCTTATTGCACCTCTCTTTGGTTTTCCTAACCTTGGGAAGGTTTGGCAAACACTCATTAAAGAAAGGTGCTTTGGGGGTGGGCGAGCAGCCCCCTCCCCACCCCCGGTTTCTTAAACGTAAAGCTTAGGCGAGATTTCAGGCCGGGGACAAGCGTCCTTTCAGCCCGCAGGCTTTGCAAAAATAAATAGAAGCAAATAAAGAAGCGCTTTGCCATCCTCCAGCCCCCCCCCCCCCTTTTTTTTTTTCCCTCCCTTTCCCACTCTTTTAATGAGAAACATGCCTGCGAACATCCTTTCAAGATCATATCGTGGCGTAAGGAGGACGGGTCTATCACGAAAGCCGAAGTTGGTTTTCATTTATTTGCGCGGAGGGGTGTTTGTGTGTGTGCAAACTAAGAGCATTTTTGTGGGTTATAATTTTTTTCCCTACCGTTGTCAAATAAAATCAGAAGACACCATCAAAGTGTTTTCATTCAACAGGGTTGTATTTAAAAGCAAGTATGAGAATTTTACAAGAACACGCTCAATGGATGGGAATATAATGTGTTGTTCCTTTTGCTGCTGTTTTTTTTTTTTTTTTTTCCTTTTTCATTCGCTTTTTTTTTTTCTACCCCTTCTTCCATATGCACAATCCCATCGCTCCACATCAGAAAGCAGGAGACTGGAAACCTCAAACATACCCCCCCCAAACCCCTAAAACAACCCTCCGAATTGTTGTATTTACACAAAATACATGCACCACATCACCAACGGCATCTTCTGGATTTCTTTGTCCTCGAAAACGTTGTGTTGCTTTCAGACACTGCGAGAAAAAAGTCATTTTGCAAACAGAAAAAAATCACTTTTATGCCCTGTGCCTGGGAGTTGAACTTGTTTTCCTTAAGCAGGAATTTAAGTACTTGACTTTGCATTTGTGCTTTGTAGGTATAAGGTACGTTATCCTTGACTTTTGGAAATGCAGCTCGTTTCTTGGTGTAATTAGAGTTTCTTTCCTCCTTTTTTTTTTTCCTTTTTCTTTTTTTTTCCTTTTTTTTTTTTTTTTTAAAAAAAGAAGACTAATATATTGTTCTCATGAAAATGCAAAAAGATTAACTACAACCGGAAAACAGACAAAGACATCTGGAGCCAAATTCAGGGTAGGATTACTGGGCCAAGAAAAATCCTATAAATTTCAGTTCCGTGATGAACACAATGAACTCCACAACAAACGTGTGCTCCAAGGTGGAGGTTTCATATTAATACCAGTCCTATTAGAGCAGATTGCAGCGAGTCACATGAATATGGATGATGATATTTCTGATATGCATTCAGGTATTTAAACTCCTATAGAAGAAACCCACACCACAATGACCGCAAAGAGGCTTTTAAGAGGGGAAATTCTAATAAAATGGTCAAATAAAATCATAATGTAGAACAGCTTGCAATGTCTTTATTTGCCACAGAATTTCACAGAGTATCCCGGGGACTCGCTTTACATACACAAAGATACTTTTTTTTCATTATTTTTTTTCAGGATTTTTTTTTTCTCTCGATGTTCTTCGTCTCCCATTTCCAGGAAAAAAAAATGCGCTACGAAATTTATTTACAAACCATTTCAGAGACTGTTATTGCAAATGCATTTTCGTCTGGATTTTACCCCCTCCCCACTGAAAACGTAGAAATGAAACTGCATAGAATATATATGTATATATATACACACACTCACTTCTATATATATATGCATATATATATTTTTATATATAAAGGGTGCATGGGGGAGGTGGAAATAATGATCTTCCTTCTGCTAGGGACAGATATTTAAATGAGGTTTCGACAACAACTCTTGGCATGGAGAGCAGAACACAGATGACCGGGGTGGGTGTGAATGTGCACACGCACACACAAGGACACACATGTCTGTGTGTGCATTCTCACCCACACACACACACACACACACACACGCACGCACGCACACTCACCCCAGACGAAGTGATTTGATCCTACAGGGAGACTTTGGCCGCTCTTGTGATAACACAGCTGCATACTGAAATCACCGTGGTAGTAACACACAGCACTGCGATTTATTCAAATGGACAGGGTGCCTAAATAATAATAACAATAAAAATAATAATAATAAAAAAGAGAATCCCAACCTGTTCAGGCAAAAAAAAAAAAAAAAAAAAAAAAAAAAAAGTTAAATAAAATGTTCATGGAATTCAAGTCCTTTAAGCGGTTAGGTAACTGAAAGAAAAATTCACTCCTTTTGTTACTCAGAACTGTCCCAGACATACAAATGTAAGTAACGAAAAGGCTTAAACTTTGAGGTTGCTTTGTCGACTGAAAGGGCAAACCCATGCTTGCAACTGTTCCTTCCCAATACACATACACTTCACCAGCAGAGGGGATTTGAAAAGATGTTCACAATAAGGGATTTCCAGAGAAATACTGCAGGCGGTCTCTGCTTAATTTTTTTTCTTTCATTCTTCTGTTCTGAAACCAAATTTTAACCTGTCGGTCAGTGAGATTTAACATCCTAGACAACTGGAGCCTTTTTTCTTTGTTTATATAGACATTGAAGAAAAATTCTCTCTCTAGCTCTCTGATCTGGAATTTCGAATAGGGACACCTCTTCTTCCTCGTTCTGGGAGCACCTTAAAAGAACCAGAAGGCAGGGTAAATATCCTAATGCAACACACAGACTCATCTTCACAGCTGACCACATAGATAGGGGCAGAGTTAAGTTATTAATGCACGGGGAGATATCTTCCAGCAGTGAGCAGTTTGCCTATTGTTAGTGGTAGCAGAGGTGAGGTTACACAGGGTCTTAAGGACTGCGTTGCAATTGCTTTCCCACTGCACGGGGTTTAATCCCAGAAACGCATACACATGCAGGCATTTTTCTGTGCAGATAGATTATTTTAAAAAGAACAGCCCGGGACTGGAGGCAGCAGACTGTTGGAGCAGGCTTTAGAGAGGCTGATTGCTGGAAAGAAAATGAAAAAAAAAAAAAAAAAAAAGAAAGAAAGAAAAAAAAAAAGCTCCCGCTCAGCTGCAAATCTGTTATCTGTATAGAAACAGCATGAGCAAGGTCGGAATTATAGGAACTAGATATTATGTTCCGCATAAGTTTTTGATTAACTCCAGTCCTCGCCACACACGCAAAAAAAGAATCAAAGTAGAAGAGAACTCAGCATCTGAGCTGCAAAAGGGGACTTTCTGCTGATCACGAAAGCAAATAGGAAAACAAAACAACCCTCCCCTCTTCCAAAAAGAGCCCCACGCTGAACACTAACTTGCAAAGTTGCCTGGATTCAGCATTTAAAACGCTCCTCTAAGACTGCCTAGAAATCTGAGTGCATGCAAAAAAGAAGACCAAAGCAAAGAAGCACGTAAGTAAAAGCCCTTCCTGACAAAAGCTAGACGCTCCACTAGGCTTGGAGGAGAATAAATGCCACTTTAAACAGAAAGTCTAAGAAAATGCTCCGCTCTGCCTGCAAATTCTGCAGCTCTCCCCCCTTAGCACCACACTCCCACCAAGAGAAAAGACTCACCATACAGTTTTAATTAAAAAAAAAAAAAAAAAAAAAGGAAGAAGAAGAAGAAGAAGAAGAAAACAACACTCTGCATGCATCTTAGTGCCTAAAAGAAAGCACAGGCAGCTAAAGTAGTGTTCTGCCCAATTGCCTTTTACCCTCAGCAACCCGGGACCAAATCCTTTTAAAATGCTCATGTAAGTTCATGATCAAAGTTAATATTTGTCACGATGGTGTGCTTTTAAAATTTCACAGACTCTAAGATACTGTGTCTGCGCCTAACATCTCCATTTTTTTCAAAGAGCTTTTCCCATCGTAAAAATTCTTCTCGTTGGAAGAAAGAGCTTTGTAGGTTATAATAAAATCCTTTGAATGCTTATAAAACTCCACATAAAATTTGACCGACAAAACACACGGGCTAGTCCCTTAACCTTTCCATTTACTGCTCTACCTACTCGAATTGCTGCTTTTGCTTCCTTCCTTGTTGACAGAAGAGGACGAGGCTGAAGACCCTGGATTTGTGTTTTCCTCTTCGTCTTCCGGGTCTATACCTTGGTCTCCGCGGGATGACAGTGCATTGGGTTGGGAGTCAGCCTCCAGTTTGCCCTCGCCCTTCTGCAGGCAGGTCTCAGCCGGGTTTTCCGCCCCGCAGTAGGCATTTTCGAAGAAGCGGTCGAAACCTTGGGGCAGGACAGTGTTTTTGTTCATGCTGGTGTAGAATCCCGTCGATGCCGGGTGGTTGGAGCTGGGGTGGTGGTGGCTGTACACGCTCTCGTTTTTCATTAGCATTTCGGTCATGGTGGAAGGCGGGATGCACTCTCTATGCATCAGATCTTCTGCGGAATAACACGACGCGTAATTGCTTCTATGGTGCCATTTACTTGAGGGGTCTAGACCATAGGAGACCTCTCGCACGGGCTGCACTTGCGAGAGGTTGGTGGAGTAAGGGTAGGAGATTTGGCGAGAGGGGGCCTGTGGCAGGAAAGATGACACAGTTGAAAATTCAGGGACGTAATAGGTACAGCTGGGGAGGTAGAGATTAGAAGCGCAACCTGCCCTTTCTCCAAACTCAGCACTCCTCTCTTTACGCGACTGGGAGCAGAAGTTGCCTAGATTCACTGAGTTAAACATCTTTCTCCTTTTCTTGCTCCTATAGATAGATGTTTTGGATCCGATGTGCAGAGGGGAAAAAATTTGGGAAGGCAAGATGACGCGCTATCCGTCTTAGTCGCTCCGGAGGACACGTGATCCAAAGTAGATATTGTCATATATCAGTTTGGAGCACTTAGATGCGTAGGAGTGGTTCACTTAGGTAAGATCTCAGAGGTTCAAACGATTGGTTTTCAAACACCGCAGAAACATTATGAAAATCAATTGCAGATTTGTATTCATTTTCTTGAAGGCACACCCCTTGTAAGCATTCAAAGCAGAACAAGTACAAGGGGTGGCTTGTGAAGTTGCTTTTTTTTTTTTTTCCTCCTTCCTCCTCTCCTTCCTATTCGGATTCTGCTTTCTGCTTCTTTTCAGCGGGGTTTGGAGATGGGGTGGGGGCGATTTGGACTGCGGGGGGGAAGGGGGGGGAGAGAGGGAGGGTCTTAGGGAGCTCGGACTGTGTTTTTCCACCCTTTTTAATATTTTAATTACGGTGATTACTATAATTTATTATGATGATTATTTCTGTCCTAGCCTCCTCTTAGAAGTGTTCCTGAATAGACTTTAGGTAGCTCAATATAATCTCAGGGAAAACGCTGGAGACGCCTAAGTAAGTTTTCAAACATTTCTCAAAATCTTGCTGCAGGCGTAAACGCGCAGCTCTTCGTACAGCTGGGCTGCTAAATTATAAGTAAATCTCTCTATCTATCTATCTGGGAGTGAGGGGGTTGGTGCTAATTAACAAGCTTCTAACATACGCTAATTATGTTGATCTCTATGTGCACATCAACTATACATCAAGCAGGTTGGCACGGTTTATAGAGAATATACCATTTAAGAATGACAGGGTGCGGGGGATCGTGTAAAGTTTCAAACTTTAAAGTTAAAGCAGGCCTGCCTTAATGACTTTTGATATCGAATTAGTCGTATATCAAGGAATAGAACAAATGAATTAAGTCAATGTCTAATAAATATTCGAAAACCTCCTTTAATGTTTTGTTAAATATTTATTAAGTAAGAGTGGCATATTGAATATTTAATGCAATTGTTTATTGTCAATCAATGAATGTACTTTCAGCAATACTCTCATCATTTATTCTTCCAGCTGAATTAAAAAAGATATTCTTATTAAAGTCATTTGTCTTCTCTCCCACGCCCCGAGAGCCTCCTCTTTCTCCGTCCTCCTGCATTTTGACACGAAACAAACAGGGATACCGAAGTGCTGCCGGCTATTTTGCGAGTTCTGCCAACAATTCTTAGGCGGAAAAAAATATATATAAAATTAAAAATCCCCAACCCCAAACGTCAAACCCCCAATCTCTTCTGCAACCCCTCTAGAAGGTGCACCTGAAGGACGCGCAGCCTCCGCGCTGCCAGGGGTGCAAGGCTCAGCCTTCGCTTTCCAAAAGTCTTCCAGGAACAGAATCGTCTGCGAGACGCTGCAACAATTGGGTTCGAAGTGGGTTTTCACCTGGCTTAGAAATCATCTGCCGGAGGTGGGGATTATTGTTGCCAGCATTTTTCTGTCGAGCACAGGCGGCTGCATTCACCTCCAGATGAAAATATTGCAGCGCATCCACCCCTGTTTTCTTCTTTTCTTTACAGGATGCCACTTAGGGATTTTTTCTTGAATTATCCCCTTTTAAAACGGCCAGTAAAAGGAAGAATAAATAAAAATATTGAATCGCCCGCACATAAACCCGAACCAAAATCCATCATGGGATCTGTTCGGTGGCAGGCTGAATACTTCTAACAAAACTAACACACCGTGAGAGAGTGGCACGTTTTTATTGAGAGTATCTTGTCAAATCGAGTTGCAGTAAATTCAAACAGCGAGAAGGAAAAAAAGGCAAATCTCAGCCCCTTGCTAGAGCGCTGAGCCTTAGAGTTGGGACCAGAAAAAAACCTGGACGGCTTCGATGTTTTCGTTTTGCTCCCCGAAAAAAAATAAATAATAATAATTAAAAAAAATTATAAACTCACCCGAGTATTAACCAATTCACCCCAAAGGAGCATCAGGGGCTCCTAGCCCTGCTTGAGCTGTCCCTCCTGCACCTGAGCATCCCTGGGCACGTCCTTTTGCATTTCTCTCGTCTAGTTTTCATTTTATTTCATTTGCTGTCCCCCAACCTGATGTTTACCGCCCCATTTTAACCAGGAGGTAGCTTAATTCCTGGGCGAGATGTAAAGATACGGGGAGATAAAACGCACCTCGCGCAAACAGAGGAGAGTTTCAGCCTCTGCTAGAAATACAGATACTCTGCAATTCTGCAGGAATACATAGCAAAAGAGGAAAAACTAACAAATAAATTAATTATTAAAAAAAAAAAAAAAAAGGAAAAAGAAAAGGGGAAAAAAACAGGAGAAGAGAAAAGAAAAGTTCATTTCATTGAAGAAAACAGCCTCGCAAGTCAGTATCTTGCAGCGGAGCAGCGAGCAGGGGTTTTCAAGGCTCCTGAGCATAAATACAGTGGGTATTTCAGCCGGGCTTGCAAAACTACAGTGCTTATCAGGCAGTGTGCCCGAATTTCTATGTATTTATTACGAAATCTTGAAGGGAAACATGGCGGCGTCACTTACTAAGATTGTGAGTTCTTCCTCAGGTTGAGCCTTGTTCATCCCCCCAGCGCAGCATCGCACTCATTTTCATTTATTTTCATTCATTTCTGGATTTCCTCCCCCTTCCAGCTTTGTATTTTCTATTTAAGGAGAGCCGTTCTCATAAAACTCTTTTTATAAGGGATCGGGGCGTGTGGGTCTCCCTGAATGTGTGTGTGTGGAGATAGAGATATACACACATATAAATATGTCTGTAATTCCAAAATGAGCTGTGTTTTCCTCTCCAATGCACCGTTTGGCTGATGAATATAGGGGCAAGAACTCTGGCTGCCGAGATGGATTTCTTCAGGTTTGTAATCTGCCCTATTTTATGGCTTGGACGTCGTTTTGGGCAAAACTTTTAATTAAAGTGTCAGCGATCTTTTAACTTGGATTTTTATTGACCAATATTAATACTAACTACAAACTAATAATGTTAAGCTATTGTTTATGAGTGTAATTATTTTTTCCCCAATTCCCTCCTGTTTGCAACCTGCGTGGAGAATACTCTCACTAGATTCAAGGGGGGAAATGCTCTTTAATGTACATTTTTTGTCCTATGTATTCCAGTCCAGATTCCATAGGAAGGCTGTAGGCATGAAGCTCTGCATCCAGGGAAGGAATTAGAGCTTGTTGCTAAAAAAAAAAAAAAAAAAAAAAAAAAAAAAATTCTGAGCTGCTACTTCAACCCAAAACAAAGGCTCCCCCCCCACCCCAAAAAAAGAGAGAGAGAGAGAACACAACAGCAAACAAACAAAAAATACGTGTGGCATAACACTCGCCCTCCCTCCTCTAGGTGCGGGAATAATTTATTGCTCTTCGTAGGTAAATACATCTAAACCAAGCCCTGGTGTCGTTTTGTTTTTTAAACCCAGTTTAAAGTATAGGATTTGCCTGCTTCCTGCAAGGAAGCACAGAAGAGACAGCTGTGGAGTCACAGCACTTGAATTTGACCACCAAAGTGACTACCATAAAACGGAATGAGGGCTGGCGTCTCGCATTCCTTTTGGTTGCCCTTAAAAAAAAAAAAAAAAAAAAAAAAAAAAAAAAAAAAGGCAAATTACTTTAAGGCATAGCCATCCAGAACATTTCAATTCCTTCATTTTTAAACCTGCTTCATTTCCTAGCGCATGTGAAAGGTTAGAGCGTGGAGGAGAGAATTAAATAAAACCTGTATTTGCGCTCTTGCAAGGAGAAAAAAAAAAATCCAAGGGAACTTGAGAAGGGGGGAAGAAAGGTCTGATTTTTCTTCGAGAGGTTGCTCTGATATGACTGTGTGTACGAGGTGAAGCTGCCCTGTCTGGAAGATTTTTTCCCCCCTTTTTTTCCCCATTCTTTCCCAGCCGCAGGGGAAGGCGGCAGCCCCGAGCCTTTCCCTCCCTGTGCCTTTCGGGCAGGAACCCCAACTGGCTGGGTCCTTCTGTGCTAGCATCTCAGTCGGACTCCTTTCCAGTCCTGGACTTGTCGCTTTTGTACAGAAAGAGCACATTGCAAGGAAAAAAATAAAATAATCAAATACAACTCCCCAAGCCCCCCCTCGCCCTGCTCCGGAGTGAGCACTCATTTGCCTGATATAATGCAAACACTTAACACATTTAACAGCGTTTTCAGCAGGCAAATAGGCAAAGCTCGAAGCTTGTAAGATGTGTTTTGCGTTACTAAAATGAATTTTAAGTGTATGTTAGAGGCATTTCGTGACCAAAAACATTGCAGCAGTTATACCAAAATCAAAACCTTGGAGTTGTGAAAGTTGGCTTTAGCTGATCTGTGTAAACATCTAAAGTTATATTTTGATTTAGGCTAATCCTGTACTTGAACTCTTCTCAATAAATCATTGCTCATTTTTTTGCTCCCATTGGGGAGAGAAGATCTATTTTTTCCCCAAAGCTACAATTATCTGAACGCAATGTAAATTCGTTAGCAGCCTCCCAACTTCTGTCAAAAACTTTCTTGTTTGTATTACCATAAAGAATCCTTTGTCCGAGCCCGTACAGTATGGAAACTTGTCTGGAAGAAGAGAAAAAAAATAAGAAGAGAATAGATTTTGTACCGAAGTGACTTACCACGTTACACATTGCTACTTACTGTGGCCTCAAGCTATCTGATGCATTATTTATACCCTGAATCTTTCCCTGTTTCAGACAGATGATCAGAGTTTGCTTTGGCTCCCGGTTTGGGGAAAAATCAGGAGCTTTTCCAAACCTACCCGCATTGCTAACCTGTGCTCACTCGGGGCTGCAAATGCGTTGGAAGTGAGTGCAAAAAACACTTCTTTAGCAGCTGCAGCTCCTGCAGCTGCACAGAGATGTGCCTTGCTTTTGCTAAATAGGCTCAAAGTTCTGATGTCTAATGACTTTGGCCTATCAGATGTTCTCAAACTGATTTTTCCCTCCCTTCCACGACGGTACTACAATTACTTCCTAAGCCTCAGATGGACTTCAAAAAAAGAGAGAGGGAGACGGAAAGAGAGGAAACCGAGGCCAGTAAACAGATTACTAGACACCGCGTATGTGTACAGGAAATCTGAAGGGAGACAATAGCTACAAGTGGGAAGCGCTTGGAAAAGATTATTGTCCCCAAATGGCAAAGAGAGATTTAATTGGATGTAAGCCAGACTGCTAAAGAAAACTATATAAGCTGTGAACAATTCAAAGGGAAAAAAATGACTTAGATCTCTCTAGACCTGAGCTGCAAGTTCAAAATCATGTGGACTTAATCAAGATAAAAGCAGATAAACTATGCTTCCCAACCGCAGGCAGCGCTGCGACTGTCTGGGCTAAAAATGTGCGGCGGGTGCCGGCTCGGGTGGAAGTGATGCCGAGGAGGCGTTAAGAAGAGTTGGGCTCACTAATAACCAATATAACTAACACTCTGCTTGGCTCGGAAGCCAATCAGGCTTCCAATCAGGCTTCCCGTTTTTTTTTTTTTTTTTTTAGTTTCTCATCAGCCCACGCGAAGCCGCGGCTCCATCCCCACGGGGCGAGCTCCGGCCGGGCGGAGCGGGACGGGGACGTCCCCCACTATTTATTTGCTTCTTGGCCTCCCCACGGCCCGGTTGCGGGGGGCTGCTGAAGCACGGGAAACGGCGAGGGTTCGGGAATTAATTCAAGGAAAACTTCACAGCGTGCTGTGCTCTTGGAGCCGCTGCGAAATTCAGCCCAGAGGAGACAGGAAAGCCAGAGGAGCTCGTTAAGCAACACCTATTCCTAGTCCTCTCTTTTTTTCCCCCTTCCAAAACTCTAAAAATACTCATTTAAACACAAAGGAAGACATATAAAACACACCCGAACCTTGCAAAAAAAATAAAAATCCTTTATTCTCCAGACATTCCCTCTTGATAACTTTAGCAGTGACACTAAAACGTGCAAAAGTGTGTAAAAAGTCGGAAATTGTGGCGGGGAAAATGTGTTTTCTGTTGGGTAGCCCGTTTATTAGCAAAATAGCCCCGAAATGCAAAGTTTGGAATAGAAGGTGGGCGGCTAATCCCCCCAGCCTTATTAAAACCGCACACACGTTTGCATGCGTGCTATTTAATCCTTAAATACCCAGGAAATCGGTTCCAAGTAGTGCACTTTAATGCCTTGGCTCCCGCATCCACTTTTTATTATTATTATTTTTTAATATTTTCCACAGCTACTAGCACCTAGATGTATTTCCCTCAGAAAACCATTGATCAAAGGGGAATCTCAACAGTTCCCGGGGATCAACTTCAATAGTTCGCAATTGCGGGCGCGGCGGCGCTGGGCTCTCTCTTCCATACCCGCATTAATCAGAATAAAATGAAGCAAAATCCTTCAGCTGCTCCGCGGGGCGACGTTTTCCAAAGGCAGATCTCGGTTGCAGAAGATAAGTGCTGCCGGCAGAAGAAAGCAAGGTAAAGCGGTGGGAGATGCCCATCCCTCTCCACCTACCTATGGAGCCACCGCATGTACCTGCCTTTCCCGGTGCTCACGCGTCCTTTTCCCTATAAAATACATCCACGCGTGCAAAAACACATCCATATCTTATTTGAAGTCAGAGAAGCAAAGGGGTCAGGGCACAAAATCTCTAAAAAAAGTTGCTTTACTCTATGCCCTGCTCCAGCATCGCGGCTCCCCAAAGTTCCCTGCTTATCAGAAATGATATCCTCATCTTTTTCCTCACCGGGATGAGGGTTTGAGTGTTTTGTTATTGCCACATTCATCTGAAATAAGCATATACAGAAATTAATGTGGCCGGAGTTCTCATTTAATAAGGTACTGGGCTTTGATGTACCCTGTGCATTGGGAGCAGATAAATGATGAACCCAGAGTCTCGAAATCCTATCTATTCTCTTCGTCTGATTGCTTCCTAAAATTCATTAATTCTTTCTTTCTTTCTTTCTTTCTTTCTTTCTTTCTTTCTTTCTTTCTTTCTTTCTTTCTTTCTTTCTTTCTTTCTTTCTTTCTTTCTTTCTTTCTTTCTTTCTTTCTTTCTTTCTTTCTTTCTTTCTCACCTATTAATTAGAAAATTATTAGTCTACGGCTGCATGGGCAACTCTGTGCAGAAATACTAAGTTTTGTAGCAACGCACACATACGTACACATAGATCTTCATTCATTGCTATTTTACACACATGTATACATTCCGGTTGAATATTTCCCTGGATTTCTATTCCGTATAGCATAGACTTGTCTAAATAATTACATATTTATTTATTCAGATTAAATGACGGCGTGTGTATGGAAAATAGTCTTCTCCATTACAGTAACCGCAGATTTTCGCCTTCCATCCTTCCCAGCGCTGGCTGTCCAGCACAATTTTTCTTTTGCCCTTTGAGTTGAGTCAAAGGCAGAGGCTGAAAAAGAGGGGGAGCATTTTTTGCTATTTTCTTGCCGCGAGGAGAAAACAAAGAACAGGGACCCTTTCTCCTGTCCTGATTTTGGGGTTTGGTCTCCCAAGACCAGGGGTTTTCTCAGGACCCCCGTTGGAAGGGGGTAGGAGAGGGGGGGGAAGGGCTTCACCCCCTCTGCCCCCCACTCGAGCCCGGCCTGGTGGAGGAGAAAAAAGAGCAGAACCCCCCAGCTATGGGGGCAAGACCCAAGTGTCACTGGTTTCCCCCCTGAGCCAGGCTGCAGCTAGCCCCGTTGCCCACAGCGGTGGGAGAGGGGCCGGGGGTAATCGGGGGGGGGGGTCGGGGGGGTGCAAAAACACAACCCCAGACCTGGCTAAAGTACCCTCCCGACCAAGGTTTTTCCTCTTTTTGCCGTTTTCCCAAGGCCCAAGAGCATTGGATTTGGGAGCTTTTGCCGTTCCGTTGCGTTTGGTCGCCTTCTCCCTCTCTTTACTATTATTTTAATTTTTTTTAATAGGTGTCCCCTCCCCAGTTTGGCTTTTTTGGAGGCTCGCGGTGAAACCAGCTCCGGATGAAGCCGGAGGAGGAAGGGAGACAGAGGAAGAGCAGCACGCCTTACTGCGAGGCAAGAGGTAAAGAGCCACGCAGGGATTTTATCCCCCCCGCCCCGCATCCTGACCCCCCCCCCCCTAGTTGTGACCCCCCCCTTGGCTGCTCACATCTCTTATTTCTCATTTACTCCTGCCCAGGCCCTTCCAGGTTTCACAAACAGGCAGAAAACAGCTTCAAAACCCATTGCAAACCCCGCTATTTCATTCAGTCCGACCCCTCTCCGAGCCAACCCCCAAATTTCTCCCCCACCCGCTTCACTCCCGCTCCCCACTCCTTTTATTCCACAGTTACGCTTCTCTGCCCATTTTTTCCCCTTTGAAACGAAAATTTCTGCCCCTTTCTCCCCCAGCCCCCCTTTTCTTTCTGCCTCTCTCTCCTTACCGAGTGAACTTCATTGTTTTCTGGAGGAAATGGTAATGTTCAGACATTAAACCTTAATTGGGCTTTTCTTTATGACGTTTAATTTCCTCCACGGCAGACGTGTTTGCATCTTGCTGGGAAGAGAGGGAGGAAAAAAAAAAAAAAAAAAAAAAAGAGGGGGGGAACCTTGTTTGAAGTCCAACTGGGGGGAAAAAGGAAGAAAAAAATCAGGAATCGGGACGAAAAAGTCTCGGTAAAACCGCCCCCACCCCATCCTTTTGGCTATTTCAGCCCCCCCGATGCACTTGGCTCGCCTCTCTCCCCCCACGGAGGAGGGGGGAAAAACCCGGGGTGGGGGGTGGAGGGGGGTAAAAAATAAAATAAATAAAAATAAGCGGGCAGGTGGGCGGCAATGGCATTGCGGCGGAGCGGCGCGGACGGCCGCGGAAGGGAGGCTGGAGCCTTAACTTGACCTTCACTTTGCGAGGCCGGCCCCCGCCCACCCAGACGGGCAGCCCCGGCGGCTCCTCCCGCCGGCAGCGCCGCCGCCGCCGCCCGGCAGCGCTCCGCGGCCGCGGAAGTGGGAAAAATTTTAAAATAAAATAAAATAAAATAAAATAAAATAAAATAAAATAAAATAAAATAAAATAAAATAAAATAAAATAAAATAAAATAAATAAAATAAAATAAAATAAAATAAAATAAAATAAAATAAAATAAAATAATAGGTGGGGAGGCTGGGAGCAGGGATACTGCTGCCCTCCCAGGCCATGGGAATCAATCCGTTAGAGGGAGAGGGGTGAAGCCAAGTTTTGTCCGCTGCCTAAAAGCAAATCTCCATTGTGGTCGCTCGGACCCTTTCGTCTACCTCTTTTTTCCCCCAGAAATCCCCTTACACACCACCGCCTCCCTAACCCATCACCTAACCCTCACCCTGACGGCCCTACAACCCCTCAACCCCGCAGCGCATTTTTCCCCAGCTCCCTCCCACACTTTTTTTCCCCAGATAGACAAAAGCCACCCCAAAATCCCTGCATTTTTTTTTTCCCCAAGAGAAAATTAAATTAAATTAAATTAAATTAAATTAAAAGGTCAGCGCAGAAGTGCGGCAACCAGCGCGGTTCCTCTTCGCAAATAAGTATTTTCTTTATCTCCATCCGGGAAAAAACAAAAAAATAAGTATATGTGTTCCGACGATTTCTTAAAGTTGGAGGAGAAGGTCCTCAGTCTTTGATAAATGCACTTTTGGGGAAAAAATGAAGGTTGTGCGGATGTGTAACTTTGTCCCTGTTCGCCTGCCTTTGTGTGTGCCTGGGCGTGCGGGGGGAGACAGATGCTTTATTTCACAGTCTCTCTATAAAGAGATAATTATATATCTAGTTATTCACCGAAGCAATAAATACTCTTCATCCACAATTACAGATGAAGATGGTTGTTTTAAATACCCATAAAGTCAGTGTTTGGGCTCCGACTGGAAGGTGCAATTGGAAACAGGGGGGGGATTGGGGTGAATGAAATGGAAAAAGCCACTTGGGGGTGGGGGGAGCCCGATGGAAAAACCCTGTGGTCCCTCTGCCCTGGCAGGCAGCCCCCCAGAAGGCGCAAAACTTGCTAAAATAAATAAATAAGAGTTTGGTGGGGCCCCCTGGATGGGCAGCGGGTCCCAGTAGGTGCAATGAGTTGTTCGGTCCTCGGCTCGCCTTGCAATGTATTCCCACATACAGGCCCGGGGGGGTCATATACAACCCCCATTCCCCACTACCCCCTCATATTTAGTCTCGCAGATCCCTGCAAAACCCTACGGGATTTATTTTCCACCCAAGAAAGAAGCCCTGGCCCGCAACTCCCATTAAAATATCATATTTTCTATTATTTCTAGTTTAAGATATTTTGATTTGAGGTAATCTGTATGGTCTTTTCTTTCTTTCTTTCTTTCTTCATTCATTTTACTGGACCCGAAGTCTGCCCGACATTCCTCATTGCTACCTTGGGTCTCCAACTGTACTTTTCCATACCTAATTTTTTAAATGCTTTCTCCTTTAGCAGCGTCTCGTATCACCTCATAAGAGTTTACTGGTTAATCATAAAAGTAAAATGAATTTCCACACTCTATGTAATTATCGACACTTCTCCACCCAATATGTAGGTTTGAGAGGCACAGGAGTGTACTGGCTGCAAATATGAATATTAATATGCTTTCCCGGTGAAAAAATTAATTTTGGCAAACGTTTTTATAATGAGATATCCTGATGGTTTATATGTTCTCTGTGGCAGTGTTTTGCTAACCCACGTCTAAAATTAAAGCACAAACTCTCTTAAAAAATTACAGGTAGATTTTAACGCGGATTTGAGGCACATGCTCTCACATTCCAGCTAGACTAAAACACCGACTAAATGTGATTTATTCAGACTGAGGGGGATGTAAGATTTCTGTATTTTCCTGGTACCACAAAGGCACGTTTAAAAAAAAAAAAAATGCATTTAGATTCCCAGTCTGACAAAAGCGGGTAAAATACTTCATTTTCAAAATCAGTCATTTTTGCACCCCAAGTGTGGATAAGAGAGAGACGCCCTCCCCTCAAGCCGAAGAGAAGGATAGTTAGTACGAGATTTATTGGGGGGCGAGGGGCGCACATGTTTATTTCCTATTTGAGCAAAATGAAAATAAAGTCACTTAATGAAGTCTGACTGTAAAAAGAAAGAAAAAAAGAGGAGTTTGCAGAGAGTCAACAAGACGCAGCCATTAGAAAATCCACGCAATTTAGCCGCAGTAAGGAGTACAAGCCTACTGATCTTTTTATCTTTCTTATCCTTTTCATCTTTATTATCACTCTTGTTAACAACACCAATGAGACTGGATACATATATCTCCTTTAAATGCAGTCATCCATGGAGCCATTGTAGTTGCTAGCTACAGATATATTAATTAATTTATTCTCTCAACAGTAAAATATTGCTGTGTCTACTTGCTACCTACCAAGCAATAAAAAAGAGGCTTTTTTTTTTTTTTTTTTCCCTCTGCACTTCATTAGGCTTTACCTATAAGTTTCCATTTGAAATGATTTGCTTAAAACTAATTACTTGCAATGTACTTCATTTTCCTCTCGCAGGGTCTGGAAGGTTTCAAAGTGGGGTGGGTGGCCATATGCTGATAAATGCTGCTAATTATTCCCACTCTGTGTTTATTTTATATTTATGAACCCGCACTCAGAATCAAACCAAGGCATTCTTCGGCAATAACGCACTGGCACATTAATGATAAGGGGGGCATGGGACTGAAAACAGCCCCTATAATAGCACGGGGGAGGAAACCAAACAGTTAATATATCACGGAATTAGCCAAAGGACGGAGCCTCAGCCACACACAGACTGAGAGAAGGAAGTCCAGTCATTCTTCTCCGTTTAATGGGAATTATTATATTTATTGTTAATTGCTTTAATACTTTAAGCTGCAGCCCTGTAAAATGCAGCTGCGAGGAGGTGCTTTGCTTTTGTCTGTTATTTGGGAGTTTGGGCCGGGGGGGTGAGGCGGGAATGCGAAATATTTCCACGCATGGACACAGGCATCCCTCAGATGCTGGCCTGGAGCCCAAATCCGAATTTTCGCCAACGTGGTGGCCCCGAGTGCCCCTTCCCTATGGCCTGCGTGCATCGCCACCCGCCCCCAGCCCCTGCCGCTGTCCCCCCAATGGCAATGCCCAGCGAGGAAAGGGTCCCCCCGGCAAGGAAAGATGCCCCCCAGCCTCGCCACCCCCCGGCGGCACTCACACTTCTTCCACCTCTTTGTGCAACTCCTTTTTGGCCAGGTCCGAGGGGATGAAAGCGCATAAAGCCCTCGCACACCCTGGGACACCTATAAGCACCCACAGTCTATAGCGCTCGCTGCTCTGTAGACTACGCCTTTGATTTTATTTTTTTTTTCGTATTGCAGGACAAAAAAAATAAAAAAAAATAAAATTGGCAGGTCCCTCCCCTCCAAGCCAAACAGCTAACCTGGGTGCCAGCAGCGGAGCTGGGGTTGTTTTCTCCCGTACTTCTAATTCTGCGTATTTTGCACCCCTAGGTGCCAAATGACCCGGTTTCATCCTCAAAAAGGGGATTGCGAGAAAATTGAGAGCGGGAGGCAAAAGATTTTTGACCGGCCGCCTTGAATTTTCTGTGTTGCTTGTGATTAAACTTTGCTTAAAGAGGCTCTGGTCTTTAACGGTCTTTGAAATGAGCTCAGCGCTAATTCGCGTCGGGTTTTTCCTGGGTGTTTTGCAGAGGTCTCGCGTAAGTTCAAAGAAATTGCACATTTCTTCGGCACAAAGGTGTCAAGAACATATCTCCCGGCTGAGCGAAAAAAAATGCCCTTTTGTATTCCTATTTTGCACATTATCTTTCCCATATTGAGTATGGGCTGAAGGTACCGAAGCATGAATAATTCCCTAAAATTGACCTGCCTGCATTAATATTTTCTACGATTTTGCAGTGGTTGTGAAATAGCACCTCGGTCTTTGTCATTAACGGTAGAAATATTCCTCGCAATTAAAGAGACGAGGGTTTTCTCCCCTCGCTAACGAATTCATTTTAAAGCTGGAGCAATGAAATACGCTGCTGAATAAAAGAAACCAGCCCAGAAATAATACAGATTTTATGGCGAAGCAACAATTTGTTCTATCCGCTCGCTGGTAATAAATAAGTTTTATCTATTTTGGTGAGTGTTTGAATGTCTTTGAAATCCAACTATTCCTGTTCAAGGTGAACCGACTTACAATACATACAATTTATGTCACCCTACGCCATTCAGACCTGTTAGGCATAATTCCTCCTGGTGCCCATTTTCCTGGCACATTGGCGTAGGGACACACTTATTACTCTATAGAAATAAGAAAATAAAGTGTGGAAAGGTCTGGCTGGAGTTTGTTTGTACGATATACGTGTTCACACATGACTGGGGCAGGAGAAACAGAGGGAAAGTGTATTTACTCGTGTTTAAGAAATAATAATAATATATATAAATAAATCAATGACTGCAGAAAAAAAAAAAAAAAAAAACAAAAAAAACCAGAAAACTCCGCAGAAATCACAAGCCACGCCGATTTCCCCAAGCAGTGTTTCTGGTTATCCCAAGCATTCTATCGCTCCTAAAATGCGTTTGGGGCAAGTTTGAAGATGGCATAAGTGTGGCCCATTCCTATAGGAATATTCACCTTCCTCCTTTCCTCCTTTCAAACCGAGCAACTCCGGGGGGGGAGGGGGGAGGGGAGAGGGAAGGGATAAAAAATAATAATAATAATAAAAAAGACATTTCTCAGGTCTGGGTGAATCTTCTCATCATCGTACAAGACCCCAGGTGTACCTTGTTTTGGGAAATCCTAATGCTCTCCATGAGGAATTGGGGGAAAATGCACGAATTGGTGCTGATAGTGTGTTTTCCGCAGGAAAAAAAAAAAAAAAATCATTTCAGCTTCCCCATGCTGAGGCTCACACCAGTGGCTCCCAGTGTGCCCAGTCTGTAGTGTGGGCCGAGCTGCCCTTTACTGGGCTTGGGGCTGGATGCAGCCGGGAGTGGGGAAGGTGTCAGTTAAAATGGCATAGAATCCTTTGGCATTTCTTTAATAAAAACCCTTTATCGATCCTCTAAAAGCTTTTTACCTAATGTATGGCTTCTGCCTTTAAGAAGTGTATGGTGTCTCCTCGAAAGGAAAATAACAGGGAAACCATTACATATATATCCGCTTGGAGAGAGATCGAGGAAATCGTAATCTAATTTATTTAAATTGGCCTGCCGGGGTTATTTTTTCTCTTGTTAGATGAATTTGTTGCGAATTTACTCCGAAGAATTGCAATAATGCTCGTCCTAATAACCATAACCATAACAATAAGCATCAACACGCCCGAACCTAAACCCATTCCAATATATTTCCAATTTAAGAGCTGCGCCTTCACATCTCATTCCCATCTTAAAGTCATACCCAGGATATCTTTGACATTCCTCTGGTTCCTGTTTCTATACCCATCCACACAGCATTTCCCATATGTACATAGCGATTGTATGAGCCCCTTGGGCAGGGGGTTGCTCCCTACAGAGGTAGAGACCCCTGTACCCTCCACAGGAGACAAAAGATTCGCAATTAGCCAACATTCAAGCAGCTCCGATCATCTTAAAAAAAAAAAAAAAAAAAAAAGCGCATCTTTGTTGAGTTTTGTTTCCAATTAATGCTATGTGCACGAGTATACTCTCATTAAACCAACAATTTTGAGATTAACTTATGCTTCTTGTTTCCCCAGGATTTTTCTAATTATATTTAGAGCGACGCAGCAAGTGATATTTCTCTCCTTTTACAACGCATTTTACACATTCATTTAATTATTTTTTTACGAAAAGATGATCTACAAGCCACAGAAGGCAAGGCTAGCCAATATATTTTTTGTTACTCTTTTATTAACCTTGCTAGTTAATACTAATTTTAAATAGTAAGCAGTAAATCACCAAGTAGATGTTTGGGCAATTTTATTTATTATCAAGAAATCACATAATAATACATTATTTTTTAATTATTATTATTGAGAAGCAACTTTTTACATGACTATATAAAGCCAGAACGTGCTATAACAGACATTTGCATAGACCCTACATATAATAGCTTGAGGTAAGAAACATTACATATGAACGATACGGAGAAGGATGCATATTAACAACCTCAATAAACTAGACTAGGGGATACAAGCAGAAAAACGGTACCACGGACACGGAGAACAAACACAGACCAAACAGAAATCCCACCGAGTCACATTCTTAAAGCAGTCTGGAAGAGAATATTGCATATATTTTCATATTCCTCGGAATTTTCTCGGCGCACGGTTGGCGAGGGAAGACCCTGGGGGTCTCGGGGGTGCTGCTGGTGTCTTGTCCTTTGTGCTGGGGAGGGCGGCGGGTATGGGCGAGATAGAAGTGACCCTCGGTGGGTGAAGAATAACGAAACGGATTGATTTGTTTTTTAAGTCGTCGGTATTGAAATCCAACACAGCATTTCTGACATTTCACCGTAACTCACCCTAATTTCTACCTTCCTCCAAATACAAGCCCTATCCCAACCGGTGTCTCATTGCAGAGCGATTGGGAGGTTGGTGAAGTAAAACCTGTGTGGATTCACTCCCTTTCTGTGGAATTACAAGAACCCGAGGCTTCTTGTGTCCCCACGACACCGCACAGCCCGCAATCACCCTCTGCAGAGCCAGCCGGCCCCAAAACACCCCCTTTCCACCCCAAAACCACGTCACCCCCCAAACATTGAATTCTTTCCCCTTGCCTTCCTCCTTTAATTGCACATGGTTGAGCTGGAGCATACATAGATATATCCATATAAAACACATCCTAGGCTTATTGCACAACGTTGCGAGAGGCGATGCCCTCTTTTGTGTGGAAGGTGTGCAGGGAGACGAGGGGCAAAGGAGACGGGGCGGCAAAGGAGACAGAGAGGCAAAGGAGAGAGAGGGGCAAAGGAGGCTCGTGGCTTTGAAGGAGTTGAGGGGATCTGTTCTTGAAAAAAAAAAAAAAAAAAAAAAAAAAGGCAACTGGAAGGAAATAAAGCAGGGACATTTACCGGGCTGCAAAAATGATAAAAATAAAAATTAATAAGGGGGAGGTGGGTAGAAGGGGAAGCAGCCGGGGAAGGGGTGAGGGAGGAAGGAGGTAAGCGGCAGGGGCTGCGGGATGATCCTGCCCTAGGAAGGGAAATGCAGCTGAAAGAAAGGCTCCTTGCAGCCCAGGGAGGGATGTGAAGGAGCCGGCTCCATCCTTTGCAGCTCGTAAATAAAAGCATTCCTCGCCGCTGCTGGTCATGACCATGAACGCGGGGAAGCGAGAGCACGTGGTGAGCATCCAGACTTCCCAGAAAACGCTGCTTTGCCATAAAATTAATCCCCCCTCCGATATAAAACGAATGGAGCAAAGCACGGCGTGGCAAAGCAGCGGGCTGCAGCACCGCGGCCCCCCTCTCCCCTTTTAACCTGAATTTAAAATTCCCCTTTTTCCTTTTTAGACTGAATTAAAATTTCCCTTGCAAGCAAAGCTCCTCACGGCCCCAAATCTGCTGCTCCCCCCGTCCTGCCCTCACTGCTTCACCTCCGCCGACCACCTAAAAGTGCCTTCACAACACACCTGACGGGGAATAGCGAAAATTGGTGTTTTTTCTCCAGGAAACCCGAGCACACGTACAAACAAAACACTTCGCATCCTACCAGGCCCCACTCTACTGCCCTTGGAGGGAAAAAAAACTGACAGGGCTTTAGGGAGCCGACAAACACCCCCGGACCCCAAACTCTAAGACCTCTTCTTAACGTTGGGGCTGGTTTTATTTGCAGCTAGAGTGACTTTTTAGGGAGGTAAAGCAAGCATTGCCCTTTCTAGAATCGTGCAGGTTTTTAACCTGATGGGCAGCTGGGGAAGGAAGGCAGGGTTATCTTTTCCCTATAGCTGAATACGACATCCTTCCTTAAAAGAAACCGCAGTCTCCTTTTTTCTTTTCTTTTTTTTCCCTCTCTTTCTCTCTCTCTCTTTTTTTTTTTTTTTCCCCTTTATTGGGAAAATAGCACCCAAATGGCAAAGCTCGTCTTTTAAGCCATCCCAAGGACAGAGATGCAGCTCGCTCAGCCAGACCAACAGGCTGTTATCACCGGAGGGTACAAAAAAAGGAGGATTATTTTCTACCTCTTTTCCTACATTGTCATCAATAAACACAGCAAAACAGCATAAATACTCCATCAGCAGAGTTGTTCCAAAGAAACGTCATTTTTTGGAGGGGGACACACGAATATAATTTGGGGCTAGTGCAGAGAACTCGGCTGTGATTTCAGAGAGCAAAAATCTCCGAAAGGCTCAGTTTAACGTGGAGGGGAATTCAGATTTTCCTGGAAGGGTTTGCTAGAGGTGCGTGTGCGTATTTTCTTTCTTGTGACAGTCTGGCGCTGGGGACACCACCACCGCCTGCACCAAAGCCTGGGCACAGCCACCCCCCTCAAATCTATAGGGACACAGTGTGATACACGTACCTCATATATTACATAGCTATATACCATATACATCGGATATATACACAGTCTTTGTCTCTCGCCTTCTCCTAAAGATACTGATTGAGCCTAGCCGCAAACCTTCCTTTTATTTTGACCCCACACTCATCTGGGTAACACCGTGCACTGAAAAAAAAAAAACCCACATCTTCCGTGTGGATGGGGGTCCGGTGCTTTAATACGACGTACCCCATCCACATCCCTATTCCCCCTCCCCCCCCCCAATTTTTTTTTCTTTTTTTTTGCTATTTTCCCCTCCCCCGCTTCCCACGAAGCCCCGAAGCAGCCCCAAGAGGTGCGGATTTCGCTCTCCTCGCCCTCGCCCCGCTCTCGCCGCCTCCGAAGCCGAGCGGGGAGCGGGGAGCAGAGGCCCCGACGGCCCCCGACGGCTCCCGGCGCTGCACGGAAACCCTACCTGCGCTGCTGGCAAATGACCGGCGGCTGAAGTCGCACTGAAAACCTCCCCTTCAGCACGCCGAGCATCTCTGGAAGCAGCAGCCCGGCCGCTGGGGCTGCCTCTCGCCAGCCGCAGTCGCTCGGTCTCTCCCCCCGCAGTCGCAGCGGAGGAGGCGCATGTTCTCGTACTCTACGTGCTGGCTGCCGGGCTTCGTATTTTAAGGGAAACTGGTTATTTATTAATATTATCTCTTTATTCATTTATTTCTGGGCGGGGAGGGGTGTGTGTGGGGGTGAAGAGTGGTCAGGTAAAGTCCCGGGAGCTCGGGTGAACGCTAGAAAGTCTATGCAATTTTTTTTTTTTTTTTTTTTTTTTTTTTTTTTTAACCCAACACGGACGCTTTTAAAACTTTAAAAGAAAGAAAGGGCTTGCTCTCTCAGAAGGAGTCTTTTCTTTTTCATGCGCCGGTTCTGGAACCAGATCTTCACCTGCTGGTCGCTCAGGTTTAATCGGTCTGAGAGCTCCCTCCTTCTTTGGCGAGTAATGAATTCATTGACCATAAACTCCCCCTCCAGCTCTGCCAGCTGCAGCTTGGAATAGGGTTTTCGCTTTTTCCGGGACCGTGTGTGCATCGGGTACCAAGGAGCACCTGGCAAAGGGGGGAGCGAGAGTTGAGCATTTCGCAAGAAAAAAAAAAAAAATCCTCTTAAAAAAAATAAATAAAAAAGAAGGGACACCCTCAGTATTCCTCTCCACACCTCCCTGCTGTCCCAGTGTCCCCGCTGTCCCCGTCCTGGCGGTGACCAGAGGTGCTCAGGGATGCTTGCAGCTCCCTCCCAGAGCCACGGGCGATGCGTGGGAGGCAGGGGAAGGGAAAGGCGGGGAGCGTTATAACCGGGGCACGGAGCGAAAGACGGGCACCGAGCGGGCGACAAGGCTGGGGACACCCCCCTGGAATCTGGGGGTGTCCACCGCCGCTCCAGTCCCTGCGGCAGGGGGAAGAGCCGAGAGACCTGCACCCAAATGACAGCGTTGAAGGCTGCTTTTTTTTTTTTTTTTTAAGCTTCCCCCCCCCTTTTCCTCCTCCTCCCCCCTTGCCTCGTGCAGACACACCTCTGCGAAGTCCCCAAAAAGCGCCTCGACGCTCTGCCAACCGTCCGCGCCGTCGGTCGAGGAGGGATGCGCAATCACTATCTCCCTCTGCCTCTCTCTCTCTCTCTCTTTTTTTTATGGGATATTTACATGTTTATAGCCTTTTCTTTTAAAAGAAGCACCACCTAATAAAACATTAGGGATTTCGGTGCTACCCCTAGTGGTCTCAGCACACATAGGCACGCCGCTTCCCATCGCTGAGCCCATGAATTACACCACGAAGCAGCCCCAAGCCGGCAAGTTTCCAAGCAAACCGCCCCCCCGACGCTCTCCCGGGTCTTACCACCGGTGCCTAAAGTGCTGCCTTGGTTCAGGGGGGACACCAAGCTCCCCGCTTCGCCGGCCGTGCCTTTATTCCCTTCATTGAGCAAGGACGAGCTGGAGTCTGACTCCAAGGACTGGCACGACGGAGGGTCGTGGGGCACTGCCTCGGCGGCCGGATAGTCATATTTGCTGAAATTGCCCCCCATGCCATTGGGGAGGCCGGCTTCGAGGGGCAGCAAGGCACTGTCCCTGCCCCTCTCCTCCCGCTTGAGCCCGGCCGTGTCGGAGCAGGTTTCCCGGTAGTAGCATTTGCTTTCCTCCACCCGGGCGAGGTCGCAGGCTCTGCCGAAGGAAGGGTTAATGGAGACGGGGCTGCTCAGGTAGGGCTGCGGGTACCCGTTGCAGGGCTCCGAGGATGCCCAGGGCAGGGAGCAGACGTTGTCCCGGCGGGGGTAGGAGAGGGATGGCAGCCCGGGCAGCTGCCCTCCGGAGGCTCGGAAATTGGGGAAGTAGAAGGTGTCTCCCGTGTGGATGTTCACCAGAGGTCCCACAAAGCCGGGATTAAGGAGGTTGTGCTCGCCCATTTCCGCGGGCCTGACCGAAAGCTTCTACTTTATTGCTATCTGACATTAAACATAGTTAAACCGACGGCTCGGCCCCATTGGTCCGGGGGGGTCACGTGAGCCCCAAATTGCGCTGGGAGGGAGGGGGGGGCCTCCCCTCCCCTGGCAGCAGAGACAAAACACAACAGCAAGTTCCGCCTTTTTACGCCTTTTCTCTCCCCCCCCAGGCCCCTCTTCACCCCCCAATCATAAAAAATCATAAAAAATCCCATAAAGCATTTTATTAAAAAAAAAAAAAAGGCAACGGCTCCCAGCGCTGGCTTGAGAAACGCGAGGCACCCTAAAATGTCATATTTAGCATAAAATAATCGATAGGCGATGGTTTTGCCCCAAAAACTCACCCCTCCCCCGGCGGCACTTCGGGGCCCTCCACCAGCTGCAAAAGCGAGACGGGTTCTCATTAATTAGCTCCTTTATTAACTAAAACAGTTCGAATTTACAATATCTCCCCAATAAATTACTATTAGATATTGTGTCATATAAAGTTTACAGGCTTTTTAAGGAGACGAATGATCGTGCCCGCAACAGGCTCATATTTACGCGCGGTGGGATGGGAGCTTTGGAGGCTATTTGAGACCTTTTCGACTCTTCTGCCTTTTTTTTTTTTTTTTTTTAATTATAATTTTTTTCCCTCCTCTAGGACCGGGTGGCTTTGTCGTGGACTAGGGAAATGTAGCCTCCTCTTCCCAGGCTGCAGCCTCTCAAGAAGGGCTGGAAGATTTTTAACAATCCTCAATCGCTTTTATTAATGATCTGTGTCGAATAAAGCAAGACAGAAGAACAGGACTGTATATAGCCTTAATTTACCCGGTATATATTCCATATGCAGGAAGACGCACACACATGCAGCATATACGCATTTTTCTCATTTCTTTTGCCTTCTTTCAGGAGAAAGAAGAAAAATGAGAATTCTCCCCAACCCCCACGCCGCTCGGGTCCCCACCCCTGGAAATATAGGTACACACACACACGCACACACTCGTATCTGGTTCCTTGCCACCTTATAGCAATATATTCTGTCCTCGTAACACTACAGAGCTCTTCTTCCCTCCCACCCATCGTCTTCTCCTGGTCATACTGAAAAGAGCTTCTGCACAGGAACACAAGGGAGTGGGGAAAAAAAAATCAATATTGGCTTCTTTCACTGCAAAATAAACACGTTGGAGGGAAGAAAAAAAAATACTGAAAAAGGTGTATTGTATGGAAACGCGGAACCGGGAAAACGCAAAGACATTTGATGGTGCTTTATGCTATTTAGGGGTGTTATTTCCCTCCTTTTATTTTTTATTTTTTGGTCTTATGCCCATTTTCTCCCTCCCCCCCCCCCTCCCCCTTTTTTTTAAAAAAAACAAAATGCCCACCCCGTTCGCTTTATTTTTGCATGGCTTTGCATTCCTCCCTGCCTTAAGCAACTCCCAAGCGTTCCCTTGCCAGGTTGCCTCTGCGAAGTACCGTAAATATTCCTGTATAGGTAAAACCGCTGCGCGGGAGCGGAGGCGCTCCGCGGAGGCTGAGCCGAGCTGGTTCAGCCGCACCTCCCCAGCTGGTGCCTTTCCAGACAGCAAACAACCTCCCCCCTCCAGTATTTGAGATATTCCTCCAGCATAACATCATTTTCCCCGCTTCACCCTCCTCCTCTGGCAGAATACTGGGGCTTTTGCTCAGCCCCTTCCCAGCCCTGTAGAAAAATCAGGTGCCAATAAAATTACTCCTTTAGCTTTTTTTTTTTTTTTTCGTATTCCATGGACAGCTCCTGAAGGTGAAAAACCTATTTTCTACGTTTCCCATCTCTCTTTCTCCCTGGCACATCTATGGATACGCTACATATTCTACATACATACCTTGCAGAGATACGTGCATACCTTCCTACACGCTTTGCCTGTGAAGGAAGAAATACGACTACTAGAAATATTTTGCTAGAATGAAAGTTTAGCACTTTTTTTTTTTTAAACCTTGCCAAGGAATTTTTCTCCCTGCAGGTATAAGTGCAAAAGCTGCTTGCAATTTCTCCAAGAGTGTCGTCTCAGTGCAGAAGAAGCGCTCGCAACGCTGGGCAACCGTGGAGGGGAATAGTTTATATAAAAATGAGCACGTGATCCCCGTAGGTTGCCATATGAATTGGCTTTGTTTGCTGTTTTTTAAAGAAAACCCTTCCTCTACCATGCTCTTGCTTTGCAAAATTCCCCCTATAAGACGTGCCCGGGTGCTGTACGGCTTTGTTCTCCACCGGACCATGGAAAAGTCCATTTTCGCTTCACAGGAGTCTCGGCGTATTTGGGGCTTTTCCTCTATATTCAATCTGATTTTTGCAGGGTGGAAAAAAAGAAAAAAAAGTAAAATAAAAAATCTGACGGTTACCTCCAAATAAACATTTCAGGAGGCGGTTGCAGGGCTGAGCTGCGGAGCAAGTGAACCACAAACTGCGCGCTGAGTCCTGCGGGAAGGGACATTGTTAGCGTGGGCATCACAGCAAGGCAGAGGGAGAAAAGCACCCCCCGATTCCCTTTTATTTTTATTTTTTGGAGAGCCGAGAAAGGCTACAGCCGTGCCTAGAAATGGATTAAGCGATGCACGGCGTGGAGCGGAGGTCCCTGCTCTTGGTGGCCTTCGTCTCCAGCGGGAACAGGGCTCAGCGCTGCTCCTGCTGCAACCAGACAGCAGGTCCAAGAAGGGGAAAAAAAGAATCCTAAGGACTCATGAGTAAAGCTGCAGCGTTTCCCTGGGAATTTCTTCCCCATTAAAAATGCATTTCCCAGTTCAGGTTGAGCGCTTGGGCTTTTCAAATGCTCAGCGCAAACTGAGCAGTGCTTAAAAACGAAAGCCTGAGCCGAGTCCTCCTGCTTGGGGCACTGGCACTGCTGCTTAGGCAGCCTGATTCGTGCACAACCCACTCCGAGCGCCGGCTCCAAAAATATATCCCGATTTCTACCTCATGTTGCCTTGTGCAACCCCCCTCCTTTTTTTTTTTTTCTTTTTTTTTTTTTTTTCCCGCGGTGTTCCTCCTCCCAAAAAGTTGCCCAGCCCAACTAGAAATCTCGGAACCTTTCCCCGTTTGCAGGAAAGCCCATTTTCAGGTAGAGTCCTTGTAGAGGCAGATATTTAATAATCCTGACGAAGGGTTTATTTTCTCTGCCTCCCCATGTCCAACACGCAGTTTTTGGGAAATGCTCGTGGGAAGAAGCCGGGGAACGCTCCGTGCCTGTGGGAGACGGGAGAGCAGCCCCCGAAAAAGAGGAGAGGAAAAAGAGGCTGCAAAAGCAAGATTGCAACGTCTCAGTTCAAGGTCACTGTCTAGTGTAGTAAATAGGATCGACATCTTATGCTAATGACTGTCTCGGATGAGCATCAGTCATTGCACCGAGAAGAGCCCGGGGGAAACAACCCCAAGTTTGGGGCTGACTTTGCTGTGTTTTGCCCTGTGCCCGGCTTGGGGGTCTGTCCCTGCGCTCCTTCTTCGCCTGCCCTTTTTGCACCATTTCATCCCCTCTCTACCGAGCGTGAGAAATAAAATCTTCCCTTCCCCGCCTCCCGCATTGCATCTTCCTCCCGTGCAGCCCGCAAGGCTGAGCTCGACTCAAGGCTACCACTTGAGCAGACTCTTTCTCTCCCACCTCTCCAGCCTTGTTTCTTAAAGAAACAAAAAATAAAATTAAAATGCAAATTAAAAATCAATAGAAATGGCTCCTGCCTAATGCCCACAGCAAAATCTTCACGTTTCAAATGGGAAAGACCTAACCCCACTTCCAGTTTTCTCTCAGAAAAGACCATGAAATTTAACCCTCATATAGGGCAAAAATCTTTACCATATACTGCATCTTCCTCCCTGGAAAATGAAATTAAAAATATATTAAAAAAAAAAAAAAGCAAATTGAAACTTCTGCTTGCGCGTGTGCAGGTTGGAAAAACAGATCCCGTCCTGGCTCAGCTTTTCTGCTTAACTGAATTTCGCCCCAAATAGGCTGGGAGTTGTAAGGAGTTGCGGTGACTCGAACAAGAAGTTAGCTGCCAGGGTCAAAAAGGAAGTATTTAGAATAAATATATAGATACATGACACGGGGAATAAAATAGAGACAGGCTTTGGAAAGCCCGCAGAACTGTTATTTTGGGCAAGCTATATATCATTGAAACCTGCCCCAGCTACTTTTCTTGATGCGGAAAATGTATGTCCATAGACAACTTATAGACATATAAGCGTACAAGACCGCTTATATATTTGTCTGCATAGACGTACACGGAGAGAGAGGGTAGTAAAATTGAATATGTAGGAGCTGGGCAAAAAATTGCAACGTGGAAAACCGGTAAATGTATGCGAATAAAAATGTCTGCGACACTTTAGCTCATTCAATATACAAATCATCTGGGGCAGCTTTCAGTTTTAAGGGAGGCAGGTCCCAAGCTTGCGAAACCTCCCGCTTCAGTCTCTCCTCGGTGCACGGAATAGTTAAATGCCTGAATATCATTATATTTTCCCTAGCTTTGCCAGCAGAGGATCTTCTCCTCCTATTAGACTAATGTAAACTGATGCCTGCATCCTTTGTAAGGCAAAGGTTTAGCCCCAACTTCAGGGAAGTTTGCTTTGTCCGCAGCTCTGCTTTGGGTGAGAGCTGGCGTTTCGTACTGTAACCCCTTGGAGAGCTGAACCCCCCCAAGAACTGTAACAACAAACCAGTTAATGGTCTAGAATTCACGACTCTTGAACAAATCTCCATTGGAGAGCCTGAAAAGCGTGATCTCACTTATTTAATGTTCCTTGTAAAGGAAGAGAAAGTGGTAGGGAGGAAAGGCAGTTTATTAAACCCACGGCTGGTCCAACTGTGGTCTAAACCAGCTGAGCTCCCTGCGAAGCAGCAGCTTGCTCCCGAAGTGGAGGCGACAGGAGACACGACATTTTGCTGCATATAATTCTTAAATACCCATAAACACGAGGGCTTCCAAAGCCGTCGGTAGTATGCTGAACCACGTAGGCAGAGGCATTTTTATAAGCCAGGAACCAACAGTGCT